AAAAGACATATTTGAAAAGTATTTTGATGTTATGCAAATGCAAGAGAGAATTCTTTAGCCTAAAGAGCCAATAGATGAGTCTTGGGTCGATCTTGATCACAATAGGATCGACTCAATACATTTACACCTAAGTCTTTGTTCTTGGTTCTCTTTTAGGCTCTCGTTCTCATCTTCTTGATTCTCGCCTTGTGTATTCTTTTCTTGCGTTTGTTTCACGGCGGTTTGGCATTATCAAAACCTGTAACAAAAACAGACACGGCTTTAGTATTACGAAGTGATAAACCGTGATTCAACAATTTCCCCCTTTTTGATAATGGCAAACAAGACGGGGTTTATGCATTTGAGAAGCAAGGTTTATTTGAAAAGATTCCCTTAAGTTCCCCCTTAATCAAAGCATCATTATTAATATTTTAAATCCTTGGAAATTTAATACTTTGAAAAAGATTGTTTAAGGATAAAGGTTCCCCCTCAAATTGTGCATAACCCAACATCTTCCCCCTTTTGACATTAACAAAAAGATTTAAAAGATAACTTTTATTCAATAACGATAAGGGAAATGCGGAATACAACGGAATAGTAAAGAAAACAACATAGTAATAATAAAGATAAGGAGTGAAGAAAGTCTAGGAGTCTTCATCGTCGTTCTCGTCATCCTCAACGTCCATGGCATCGCCGTCCACCTCTTCATCAAACTCGTCCTCGTCGGGTGACGACGACGGAGCATAGGAGTCGTCGTCCTCATCCCCGCCATCATAGTCTTGGCCGAGGAAAGTCCCATCATACGGAGGAGGGACGTACTGGACTTGTTTGAAGTAGGCGCGCATATCATGACGTTGGCGCTGCACAGTCCGGTCGATGCGCTCAACGGCACGGCCCATGTCATCAATGTTGACCGTGAGGGCGTTGAGAGAGTCGGCAATAGACTCAAGAGAAGCTCGGGCAGGGGCAGCGGTAGTGACACGGCTTGTCCCTGCTCCATTGCGGTTTCCGGACTTCTTCCGGAAGGTGCCATCGTTGATGAGCCAAAGCTTGGTCATCTTGGTGACGGGGCCGGCGATGTGGATGTTGTTGCGTGCAATGATCTCCCTGACTAGGAAAGCATAAGGGAGACTCCTCTCGGTGCTAATGGATGCACAATCGGCCATGTTGATCATGATGAACTTGGCCCAATTGACGTCGGCTCCGTGCATGATCGCGTGGATCATCTTGACGTCTTCGGTGAAGAGGGTGGTGTGGCTGTGATCCCGAGGATGGAGAACCCAGGTGAGAAGGTAGAGTAGGACCCTCTTCTCCAAAGGAGCGGAGTGAATGGTCGGTGCGCCCTTGTGCCGGATGAGGTTGGTGATGCCAAGCTCTCGAAGGACCACGCCTTCATTGTTGACGTACCAATCTTCGCCTCCGTACGTCGCGATATCCTCTCCCCGAGTAGGCAGCCCTGAGACGCGAGAGAGGGTGTCCAACGTGATCTCTAAGTCATAGAGATTGATGCTCGTCTTGAGGACGTCCCCTTCTCGGCGTAGGTTGGAGTAGAACGCACGCACAAGCCCGTGGTTGAAGCTTTGGTGGCTCTTGGAGACAAACGGCCAAAGTCCTGAAGCTTGGAGCTGGTTGTCGAGATCATGAAACCCCTTTTGTTGGGGGTAAAGCTCCGGGAGGATGCGAGGCGGCGCGATGGGGCGCGTAGAGAAATAGGAGAGGAAGTGATGGAGCTCCGCCTCCGATCCAAACTCGAGAAACGACCCATCAAGGTACGGGTACGTTTCGGGCAACGAGGACGATGCATCGGCCGTGCTCTTCTTCTTGGACATGGTGGCCTTGGTCTTGGTTTTTCCTCCGGCCATTTGAGAAGAGTTTGAGAAGAAAAGATGAAGAAAGAATCAACTATTGCTCAATGGATTGATTTGGAGTGAAAAAGATGAGGAAAAATGA